AAACATTAAGTAAATGTGTAATAAACTGTGTTTTATATAACTTATTGCATCTTTTTTAAACTTAATTAAAGCATTTTTTTGAAAGTATTAGCTTGAAACCTATGTTAATTTTATACGCTTTTGTGATACTAAAACAAACGTTTTAAGAACAACAATTGAACATGTAAGTAACAGCAAATACAGTAAAGCTAGATGCAAAATGCTATTGCCAGGCTTTGAACTCGGGCTTTTGCAGCCACAATGCAATGTATTAACCACTTTACTACCACAGCTTACATTGTATTTGACATCTTTGCTATTTTCTAATATTTTGTAATTTTAGTAATAGTATGATTACAGTTTTATATTATTGAATTGAACTTTTTTGTGTTAGGATATTTTCAAAAAATGCTTCTCTTACTTTACTAGATTTAGTTGAATGCTAAGATAAGTTTATGAACAAAAATAAAATTCCAAAATTGTAGTTTCTATAAGGAAGCGTAATTAGCTAAATGGAAAATAAACCATCAGATTTTTAATCACACGCCTGGCATTTTTGCATGCCAAAACGCTAGTTTGTAAGTCATTGTGTCCAGCGGTTTTTGCACAAAATACTTGATTAAAATAATTAATTAATGAAGATGGCGGCTGTTTCTAATGTGCGATTTTCAGCAGAAGAAAAATTACATCAAGAAGACATATACAACAGCGCCGTTCAACAGCCACCTTCCTCCTTAACAAAAGTTGAAGAGGTAATTTTCGCATTAGCAAGTGACATGCAATGTTAAAATGTGGAAATTGTCTCAAAGCGGTGTGTTGAGCAAGTGCAAGCTACGCTTCAACTTGCAGAGGTCAACTTCGACACGCAACAATAGTTCGCTGAGATTGATGGGACTTTCTATCAATCCAGCTAAGCTGTTAAAGGAGGAGTCACGAATTTGGCTAATGGGGATTCGTCGACGACTTGGTGGCAAAAACAGCATCAGAAACCCATATTATGGGGAAATTACGAGGGTTACTCCGCATGCTTTTTTTGCTACCATGATGCGTACTGTTCGCACTTTGGATAGTTTTGTGGCTGCTTTCTGTTACCAGGTTGAAAACAAGAAGGCTGAGGTGATATCTTTCACCTCCATGTGCCTTTTGAATGAGTTGCTTGTTTTGTTGTCTGGCTTGTCCAAGGAAGATGTTGCTGCTTACCTAAGACGAAGTTTTAGCGGACGTCGCAAGGGTCAAACAGCAGCAGTTATTGTAACCGAGGTGAAAGACTTTGTTTATTCAATGATGAGCCTTCCAGTTTCTTATTTTGTACATAAAGACAAACAAACATAAAATTTGCCAAACAGCAAAAGAAGCAACTCATTCAAAAATTAAGAAAAAATATGAAAAAATTCAACCTAATTCATGTCATCCTCTAAAAACAAAGATCTACAAATACCTTTTAAATTTATTTCAAATAAAAAGTTGAAACCTGACTAACAACTGAGCCATTTATTGAATCTTGGTAATTGTTGCATTGCCTGCTTTAAAACAAAAATAGGGCAAACTAGCACATTGCCTGCAAATACTAGACAGTAAATTTTTCAATGAGGACACCACCCTCTGGCTTCTTCGAGTTTTATTAAAGTTGACAAAGGTTTAAAAATTAGTTAAACTACACAAATATCAGTCAATGTAAAATTCAGATAAGTATAATATATGCAAATTTGATTGTATGCACATGTAAAGCTTGCATGCTCTAGCATGTACATATTCTGGTAAGATTAAGTTGCACAGATTATACTTGTCCTAATGTGATAAAAGACTAAATAGTTTTGTTACATTGTATATATACAATTACAATATTACAACTTATCCAAACAAAAAACTAATTTTAAAATTCTTTGTCTTCATTCAGCTTGTACATAAAATTACTTTGCTTTGTAACAAATCACAAAAAAAGCAAATGCCAAATCAAAAAGCAATTGTTAAATAATTGTTTGTTTGTAGAATGATTGCTATAAGCAATTACAGGGAGACAGTTCTCTGAACAATTAGCCCCAAAGAGCAGGAAATTTTCATTGCGGCTAGACACGCCATGTCCAATGTTTAGAAAACTTACCAGCCAAGAGCATGCTGAATCATATCTTCCAAAAGGTGCCCCATCTCCACCAATAGCAACATGAAATGAGTTTGGCTGACTAAAGTTGAAATGTTTATACTTACCAATGTTCAAATAAAATTCTGCAAGCTTAACAAGAATATCTTCTATATCTCTGTAAAAACAATTGACCTTCTCACACTCATCCAACCCATTGCATAGATGTTCACGAACACTAAATAACTTACCAATATCAATAGATTTAATGTATTGCATTAATCTATCATAGGGAACCAGCCGAGGGGTGGGACATTTAGCAACACTAACACGTTTAGCCCTCTCACTACCACATATCTGCTCATATGAGCTAGCCTTATAAACTCTTCTATACTTTTTTTTCCCATAACTCCTTTGTTATAATACACAGCAATTGATCTTAACATATTCTCATCTGATCTTTCGAACTTCTTCAAATCTTCTTTGCAAATTTTTGGAAAAACCTTGCTCTTAAACTTACTGCACTTTTCTAATCCTTTTACTATATCACCCACTTTGCACTTTTTTTCTAATGTCTCCAACATTCCAATAGTACCAGGCTTTGTATCATCCATCCAATGGCATTAGCCGCCAACATTGTCTCCATCCTGCGTGTTCGACCAGTGGACTCCACACAACCTTGCCCAGTTGGTTTGTTTCTTCGCCTAACAACTGCCTTCCTGCCTATGCTAAAACCTTTCTCCTCTTGTTCCTCCTGCCTACTTCCACCTTCAATGAACTCTGTCCTGATGCTATCTAACTCTTCTACTTCATTCACCAATTTCTTTACCTGTAAAATTTATGAATACAGTTCCAGCACAAAAATGGCATACATATTCTGATATAAAATACAAGCACAAACAGTTCACACTAAAAATACAATTAAATTGAAATAGTACGCCTTGGCACTGAATATGTCGATTCTGTATGAAACAATCTTTCATTAAAAAATAAGCCTATCATTACAAAATTCGACACATCATGTCAAAATATTGCATATGGTATTGACTTATTGACATATAACAAGATCGAGTAAGCAAAGATCATTTCAAATAAAACTACTAAACATTTTTTACCTTATCATCAAGACTTTAAGCTTTCTTTTGAAAGCACACATTTTGCTTTCTTTTGCTTGCTCATATTTCCTTCCCATGCCAATCTTTTGTTGGGCATGTATTCCCCAACATTGAATCGTTTGTAATTCGTTGCCTTGCGGAACAGCATGATTGACGCTAAATTATCTCATTTTCTTCAAAACAAAAAACATACGATTGTAAGATTATTTATCTTATTAAATATCCAAAATTTAAACAAAAGAGTGATCGGATAAAGAAACCTATACAAGCCGAAGTTAGAGTAAATTATCAAATTTCGCCAACCGACGCCATTTCGCCAAAAACCCTCGAGGAACAAGCTCGTCTGTTGAGAAACTATATGTGTAACCATAGCAATTGAGATATCAAAATGATCCTCTAGTTATCCTCTATAACACTCTTGCGTTCCCAAGTAGCTCAAGGAAAACGTTTGCTGGAAAATCATCGACAAAAATAAGGAATTTGCTGTTCGATAAATTCGTTACCAAGCTTCGGAAAAAGTCGCGCGCCGGCAATAAAATTTGGCACATTCTAATCTCTAATTTTGCTCACAAAAATGCCAAGCATGTCAGATGCGAGAAGTTTCAATCCCCTATGGGTTTACAAAAAGTATAGGTTAAATATAATAAGGTGTGATTTATTTTATGCTTAATTTGACACTTTAATATGATTTCTGTCTAAAAATCAACTAAAAGTTGAAAACGTATACCATTACACTTCTGAATGTACTATCCAGATTTTTATAATAATATTGTACGGTTTTAATACTAAAATAAAGAAATTGTCATTTAAAAAACTCTCACTTCCGTAACAGTAACATTAAATGTCAGCCATACGTTTAAAATCGTGTTGTTAACAAAAATAAATTAGAAAGATTGTATAGTTTCTAGGAAAGCTAGATTATGTCTGTTGGTAAAGCATAAGACTTTCATTTTTGAGGCCTGGGATCAAATCATCATTTAAACCTAAGAACGCTCAATTTACACATAAAATTTTATTATTAAATTTAAGATGGTTTTGCATGCTCTTAGATGAAATAAGGTTCTTTATACGTAGATAAGAATTGTAAAACTCCTCTCTTTGTCTTCATTTAATTCAAAATTAAATGCTCCCACATCATTGGGCTAATATGTACAACATTGGAACAATATATTGTTGTTTTTTAGACATCTCTAAAGTAATATTATCAAATAATATTCTAAGTTCTTTCCTAGTGACTGGAGAAAATTAATTACATTTTTAAATAGAACTTGTTCTTTTTCTTTTTTTGCATTTATTTTACAGTATTTATAAAAAACTATTGTCAAGAAACTTAATTTGATATTTTATTAAATTTATCATAATTTCATCAATTACATCTTCATTATATTAATTTGTAATTAACAGTAATTAAATAAAAGATTTTGTTTAAAATTATTAATTAAGTAACTTTCATAGTATTCTTGTTATAGATGAGTCTTTTTAGAAGTGTGCATTGTTAGGTTTAGACAAAATATGAAAAAAATTAGTTGATAAAGTTTCAAGTTCAATTACTTTTCATTGCATGTAATAAGTCGGTTCACTTGTCTAGCAATATTATTGAAATCTTTGCAGGAATAGGTCTTAGGTTTAATTCTCTGGTGAGCACTCACATTAATGATAGATTTGCAATCTGGTACTTAAAATGAATTCATTAATTTGTATATTACATTTATTAAGTCGTATTTACAAAAATATCAAACCTAATTATTATTTTGCTTTTCTTCCATTGATTTTAATTTCAAAAAACGAACATGAAGCAATGTGATTTTATTTAATGTCTAAATTTTCCCAGCCCAAAAGGGGATTCAAACACCTGGCCCTCAGATTAAAAGTCTAATGCTCTACCAACTGAGCTAATCAGGCTTTATAAAAAACATCTACCACTTGTTCACTTACAACTTGGTTGATAAAACGTATCTAAACATTTAATTACATCCAGTAAAATTTGAAAAGATTTGCTAAATATCTCCTCACTTATTAAAAGTTCTCATCAGCAAAGTTAAGTACTTTACAAACATTAAAACATAAAATATGTTTTTCATAAAAGTTGTTTTGTTTCTTGTTGTTAGTCCATCGCAAGCGATGACGACCTGGACAAGTTAGGTGGTGTTGTCAAGATGTATGCAAGAACTTATTATAGTGAGGAAAACCTGGCAGTTGTCAACATAACTCTTCTCTGAAATCACATGGATCCAGTGGCAACATTCTGTCGAGACGACTGGTGGTGACCTCAGATGCAACAGCATTCAGTTACTGCTAGATGTTATGCATTCCATCACGGAGCTCCACCCTGAACCAGACAAGGATGAGATCACTTTGTCTACGAAAGTCGCTGGCAGTACTGACTTTGGCATTACAGATAGCAAATGTTGCTCATTTTGATGGTGATAACAAATGGCTGGGCAAGCATAAAAGTACAAAAAAGAAGAAACCATATTTTTTAAAATTAAAGTATTCTAGATATATCTGATTCCTTTCTTAAAAAATCTATTGTTTGACAAAGAAATTCTCAATACATCGTATTGTTGGAACAAGACCAATATTTAAACTCTGCTATTCATTATTTAAAACTTAAGATAAATACATATTTTTGAAAGCAATGTTTCATAAAATAATATTTTTGTAAAACACTTGGTAAGTGGTAAAAATTGCATTATGAAAAAAATATTACAAATTTTGTTTTTTTTGCTCATATTTTATATAATTGTCAAACAAAATTTTATTATATTTGTAAAATACTGAGTAATATTGATAACATTTTAAGAATAAAATTTGTCGTCTTGTTCTCCCAGTCTTTGATGCACTAATTCTTAATCATTGTTGTCCAGTAATTACATTAGAAATTTATTATGTTTACAATATTATCATTTATTACAAATTGCATGTTAAGACAGCCAATTTCAATATTTGTAAAAATATGCTCAAAAGAAGCTTTTAGGTGCAAAATTGCAATTTAATATTAGTTTTTTCTCCAATTTTTTTATTAAGTAATTCTTACGAAGTAAAGTAGAGAGAAAAACGTATTAATGTTTATTTTTAAAGAAACCCATTGTTATAATACATTTAAATATAAGTGACTATAACTCTAACTTAATTAAACGTTTGAGGTGGCTCAACTTCAATTCGGCTCACTAGTCTAGTGGTATGATTCTTGCTTTGGGAGCAAGAGGTCCTGGGTTCAATTCCCGGGTGAGCCCTACACTTATCAACATAAAAATAGGGAATGTAACACTAAACTAGTTATTTACCAATAACAAATTGTGGTAAACATTTTCTATCACAAGCAATTCTGATTTAATACTTGTTATTTTTTTCAATATCTATATATTATTAGTAACATAAATTGCAGAAAAAATTACTAAGTACTAGATACTGATATAGGTTCTTTAACTGAGTATGTATAAAGCAATATTTTGTTAGGTTCATCAAAGAATACAATTTAATGAGTTTTCATATTATTAAGTATACTATCATATTTAGTATTGTTCATCTAGAGAATCCTTTTAAAGATTTCAAATCATTATTTTGGAATAAATGTGTCGACAGCAAAAAAAATAAATCAATGTATTAATGTTTTTGTTAAACAATAATTAAGTAAATTTATCTAAAAGCATCCATTACTAAGATGAAATCAACAACAGGGTTTTATGTATCAACCAGTGTTTTTATAGATAAAAACGGAATTTAGTACCCTTGTCATTATACAAATATTTGTCGTGCTGTAACAACTAACTTGATCATGCTCCATAAATTTATTACAATTTCTTAAGTAATTTTTCTTTGTAAAACTGATCTCGTTAATGAATTAAATCAAGCAAATTTTTAGAAAGTATTATTCGAAAATGACCGGCATTTCTAAAAAATTCTGACTTAAAATTAAATTTGTTTACAATAATAATAAAATCATTTACTACAATCTGAAAAAATTTGCACATAACAAGAAAGTTATGATTTAAAAATAAAGTAAATAAAGTAAAAAATGTTTTTGACTGATCGTAAGTTATAAAATGTAACCTTGGATAATAAAATAATTAAATCAATGCATTTAGCAGCAAAAGCCACATTCCAAACCTGGTGATGGCATTCATCTTCATAACTGTTTATAACTTAAAATGAATTTTATAGTTGTGACATTTTCCCAACTAGAATTTTTTTTATTTCATTAATACAAAATATACAGATTATCATTAATATCTCGATAAAACATTGAAAATATTAAAAAACACATGCTAAATATTTAAAAATAATATTATATTGCACAATATCATTTTTTTTGAAACTAATAGAGTCTATGATGTAGTGGTAAAGAGAAAACATTGCATTTTGGAATCCTAGCTGCAGGAGAAACAATCGGCCTTCCTTTTTGTAATTAAAATGTCATATCTATAATTATTGTTATCAAAGCAATGATTGAATAAACTAAAACTTTCTCATAAAACTACAAAAAAGAAAATTAAAGTATTATAGATATATCTGACTCGTCAAAAAATTTATTGTTTGACAAAGAAATTCTTAATACATCATATTTTTGCAGCAAGACCTATATTCAAACTCTGCTAATCATTATTCAAAACTTAAGATAAATGAATCTTTTTCAAAGCAATATTTCAAAAATAAAATTTTTGTAAAACACTTGATAAATGGTAACACATGCATTATAACAAAAATATTACAAATTTTGTTTTTTTTGCTCATATTTTATATAACTGTCACACAAACTTTTATTATATCTGTAAAATACTGAGTAACATTGATCACATTTTAAGAGTAAAATTTGTGATCTTGTTTTCCCAGTATTTGTTGCACTAAGTCTTAATCATTGTTCTCCTGTAATTACGTAAGAAATTTATTATGTTTACAATACTTTCATTTATTACAAATTGCATGTTAAGACAGCCAATTTGAATGTTTGTAAAAGAATGTTCCAAAGAAGCTTTTAGGTGCAAAATTGTGATTTAATAATACTAGATTTAGTTTAATGCTAAGATAAGTTTATGAACAAAAATAAAATTCCAAAATTGTAGTTTCTATAATGAAGCGTAATTAGCTAAATGGAAAATAAACCATCAGATTTTTAATCAGATGGGAGAGGTTTCAATCCCCTATGGGTTTACAAAAAGTATAGGTTAAATATAATAAGGTGTGATTTATTTTATGCTTAATTTGACACTTTAATATGATTTCTGTCTAAAAATCAACTAAAAGTTGAAAACGTATACCATTACACTTCTGAATGTACTATCCAGATTTTTATAATAATGTTGTACGGTTTTAATACTAAAATAAAGAAATTGTCATTTAAAAAACTCTCACTTCCGTAACAGTAACATTAAATGTCAGCCATACGTTTAAAATCGTGTTGTTAACAAAAATAAATTAGAAAGATTGTATAGTTTCTAGGAAAGCTAGATTATGTCCGTTGGTACAGCAGAAGACTTTCATTTTTGAGGCCCCGGATCAAATCATCATTTAAACTTAAGAACGTTCAATTTACACATCAAATTTTATTATTAAATTTAAGATGGTTTTGGATGCTCTTAGATGAAATAAGGTTTTTTATACGTAGATAAGAATTGTAAAACTCCTATCTTTGTTTTCATTTAATTCAAAATTAAATGTTCCCACATCATTGGGCTAATATTTACAACATTAGAAGAATATATTTTTGTTTTTTAGACATCTCTAAAGTAATATTATCAAAAAAGACTCTAAGTTCTTTCCTAGCCACTGGAGAAAATTAATTACATTTATAAATAGAACTTTTTCTTTTTCTTTTTTTGCATTTATTTTACAGTATTTATAAAAAACTATTGTCAAGCAACTTAATTTGAAATTTTATTAAATTTATCATAATTTCATCAATTACATCTTCATTATGTTAATTTGTCATTAACAGTAATTAAATAAAAGATTTTGTTTAAAATTATTAAGTAACTTTCATAGTATTCTTGTTATAGATGAGTCTTTTTAGAAGTGTGCATTGTTAGGTTTAGACAACATATGAAAAAAATTAGTTGATAAAGTTTCAAGTTCAATTACTTTTCATTGCATGTAATAATTCGGTTCACTTGTCTAGCAATATTATTGAAATCTTTGCAGGAATAGGTCTTAGGTTTAATTCTCTGGTGAGCACTCACATTAATGATAGATTTGTAATCTGGTATTTAAAATGAATTTATTAATTTGTATATTACATTTATTAAGATGTATTTACAAAAATATTTGCCAAATATCTCCTCACTTATTAAAAGTTCTCATCAGTAAAGTTAAATACTTTACAAACAAAACATAAATTATGTTTTTCATAAAAGTTGTTCTGTTTGTTGTTGTTCGTCCATCGCAAGCGATCATGACATGGACAAGTTAGGTGGTGTTGTCAAGATGTATGCATGAATTTATTATAGTGAGGAAAACCTGGCAGACCTCAACATCACTCTTCTCTGAAATCACATCGATCCAGTGGCAAGATTATGTCGAGACGACTGGTGGTGACCTCAAATGCAACAGTATTCAGTTACTGCTAGATGTTATGCATTTCATCACGGAGCTCCACCCTGAACCAGACAAGGATGAGATCACTTTGTCAACGAAAGTCGCTGGCAGTACTGACTTTGGCATTACAGATAGCAAATGTTGCTCATTTTGATGGTGATAACAAATGGCCGGACAAGCATAAAAGTACAAAAAAGAAGAAACCATATTTTTTAAAATTAAAGTATTATAGATATATCTGATTCCTTTCTTAAAAAATCTATTGTTTGACAAAGAAATTCTCAATACATCGTATTTTTGGAGCAAGACCAATATTTAAACTCTGCTATTCATTATTTAAAACTTAAGATAAATACATATTTTTGAAAGCA